AAATTTGTTCAGCAGAATCTGCTACCCATAGAGATGAAACGAATCCGTATGGCGGTATGCTTGAAGAAAGATTACCATATGTTGATACTATAAAAAAAACCAATTTAATAGAAAATAAAATAAAAGCTTCAATCTTTCCCAGAACATGGTGAAATTTCGTAGAAAGTAACACAAAATGATCATAAACATTCTAAAGATATCAATAATTTGTATAACAGCATATGAGAATTTAAAATTTTAGTTGAGAACCCATTTTGTGCAGTATATATAACAAATCGTTTTTTTTCAAAACAGAGTGTTAAAAGACATCTAAAAGAGCAACACAACAATTGCTTAATATAATGTGCCTATTATAATACTATTAACAGGAAATTGAATATTATGTCCAGAACAATGCAAGACATAGAGGTGTATATGAATGAAAGTTAATTATGATAGATCATAATTTTATTCATAATGCACCAATAAGAAACCGTAGTTTTTCCTTCAATTTATTTACCTAAAACTATTAAATCAGCTGCAAAATTATTATATATGTATGCCTACATTGCATTAAACAATGGAAATTAACAATGTATATTTATATAAACGATCAAACTTGTAAATAAATTAATAAATAATCTTTATTTCAAGTGGATAATCCAATTAGTTAAAACTAATCTTCCCGAGAGTCTTCAAAATAATAATAACATATTTATAAGTACATACAGTATTATAATGATATATTATACACAATATACAATTGTATCTAGATAATAATGAAAAAGCATATTAATTTGCACAATTGATGAAAAATTTGTAACATTTTGTTTTAAAAGATACAAGTGTATTACTCATTTTTATTTCATTTGGTAAACTGTTCCATATTTGAGAACCTGAATATGTAAATGTTTTCTTTAAAAAGTTTGTTTTTGGTTTCGGGAGATAAATAATTTTTCATCAGCTGAACGTAAATTATAATTTTGATTACCAGTAAAATGAAAGTTTTCTTGTAAATAGTTAGGAACCATATCATTTAATGATTTAAATACAAGTATTGGCTTTTGATATTGAATGCGTTTTTCCACATTTAACCAGTTTAAACTATTAAACAATAAACTGGATGATGTCATTATGTCAGCTTCTACTATAACCCTAGCAGATTTCTTTAATAACTTATTTAGTTTATTTATTCCACTTTCATAACAACTTCCCTATATATTGCAACAATAATCAAACAATGGCAGAATATAAACATTAAAATAAATCATAAAGATGTATCCTGACCATTTAATAAATTGGAATTTGTCTATTATATCTTCATTGTAGATGATATCGAAACAGAATATGAATACAAAGTGTAAATTCTTGCTTAACCGAGTATTGACGTAAGTAATTTGAATAACGTCGTTATTGACAATGATCTTGTCAACAAGCCTAACATGTTAAAGCCTATATCATATAGGTCGGACTAAATGTTTTATTTGAAACAACTTACTAATATTACGTTCGGATCACTTTACTATGGCCGTTATTATTCGATCTGTATGGGTGATTCTACAATAAAGAAAGTTTCCACCTTTCACACTCGAGTGTAACAGATGGCAGCTCATGAAGACCTTGCGATTTAACATGTTTTGTCTAGGTTACGGCAAAACTATTGCTTTTAAAACATGTTCATAATAATTAACTTTACAATGTGACTGAATGAAAATTCAACGAATTGTCAAGGCTTAATTTTCCATTTAAAATTCATTCAATTTTCTCGTCCAAATATGCACGTATATACATTTAAATGTTTTTGTAAATGATCTTTTTAAATGAACTTGACTGATCGACCTTTTCTTACATATATAATATTCACAAATAATGATCTTTTCATTTACTGTAAACTTATCATAATAAGCAGTTCTTGGACGTAGTTCAGTTCTCAAATGGACAATTAAATACACACATAGGGTAACAGTACACAATAAAAGACCTTTTCAATAACTATCTTTACCTATATTTTACAATTACACCTAAAGGTAAGAGGATGTAAAATGTAAGTGCTGTTCTCAACAATAGTTCTTAGTATTTGTTCACAAATTTCAACATTATCTTTGAATTTAGTACGAGGAAAATGAAGGGTCTCAATATATTGTTTTTCCATTCTCTTAGACGTTTAGCTTTAGCTTCCTTGATGAAGTTTGGTAAATGAAAAAAATAAATGTATGAAAGAAATTAAAGGGGCACTAGCAGTCAAATTCATGTTCACCGATTTGACTCAAATTCTCATATTTGATTTATAACATATTAAAACATTTATTCCAATTTTAAAAAGCATGAAATAAACAATATATAAGGCATGGGCTCGATAATATGTCTCATCGTTTCGTGTGTATTTAAGTCTAGACGCCATCTAATTAACTATCGAGTTGCCCTCCGAATACTGCCGATGGTCATAAAAGCGATATAAACATAAATAGAAATAGAAATAGAAAGCGAGCTCGTGCAATTGGATTTTTCTAGATCTGTTTAATCTCATATTATCGGTTAAAATATATTTAATCATCGTTTTTACCTGTATAACAATGATTTTTTTGCGAATCGAATCAGTCAATCAAATGATTTACCTTTGTTTCACTTCAAATGTTGACATTCTTTCCCTTTTAATAGCTGAACACGAACAATTTCATGCGTTATCCATCTCTAACTAAGGGGTTACATTAAAGTTCACATGAATACGGATTCAATGAGGTTGAATTATTCACTTGCAAGTAAATAATTAATCATCGATGTTTCTTAGCTTATGTTGACAAAATTGAACCATACTGGCTGCTAAAAGCGAATTATTACTTCACTATTTCACTTTCATTAATGATTGAACAAAAAAAATCATATCTTAAATTTTGTATATATCTTGTAGCTAGTGCCCCTTTAATGTTGAGTCCAATATTCGTTATTTTTACTTGGTCCGAGTGCATAACATAACAGTTGCCATTTCATATTTCAATAACAAAAAACTATTTAATGTAAACTAAAGAGAAAGACATGACCATTTGATTGATCGGAATTGATTCATAATACCTCCTTTGTTCATGATATCGAAACCAAATCTGCTTTCATACTGTGCAGCCACGTTTGTCCAGGTATTGCCGAAGGTAATTTAAAAAGAGTTGTTATTGACACTGATCTTGTCAACAAGCCAGACATGTTGAAGCCTATAGCTTACCGGTCGGACTGCATGTTTTATTCAATTCAACTATCTAATATTATGTTAGAGTCACTTTACTCTGGCCGTTATTATTTAATCTGTATGGGCGATTCTACAAAAAAGACAGTGTTCTCTTTTTTCGTGACATACGTAGATGCTAATGTGACTAAACTTTAATTTTAGGAATTGAAAGGGCTTTATTTTCCATTTAAAATGCATCCAATGTTATCGTCCAAATATGGAAGTATAAAAAGTAATAGGTTTTTGTAAAGAATCTTTTTGATTGAACTTTTAACAAAATATTGATAAAAATGTAATGAATCAGAAATAATGATGTTTTCATTTTCTTTAAACTTGTCGTAATAAGCGGTTCTGTGATGTAGTTGAGTTCTTTAATGGACAATAAAAACATATATAGGATAAAACTACCTAATAAAAGAGCTTTTCAATAACTGTATTTACCTTTAATTAACCAATACATCAACTGGTTATTGGGCGTAGAATGTAAGGGCTGTTCTCATAAATCGTACTTAGTATTTTTTTATATTAAATATTTTCTTTGAATTTAGTCTATGAAGATAATGAAGGGTCTCAATATTTTTTTCATTCATTTGGCGTTAAACTTTTAACTTTTTTGAGGAAGTTTGGTAAATGAAAATAAAACGGTATGAACAAAAAATTATGTTCAGTCAAATATTCATTATTTTTACTTGTTCCGATTGCATAATATAATTCGATTTAAAGGGCTCGACCATTAAATCGCGTTATCAGAGGAAGACCAGCAATAGTTCATTAGCGGGTCAAAGCAGACGCGCATGTCTAAATTTATTGCACTACATATAAATTAACTGTTCTTGCACTCCTCATCACAAATTTTGCAAACGCTATCTTCAAGGATTTATATTGATTTAAGGTCAGATTATTGAGTTAATTTAGTATACACATGATTACTTGATATTTAATTTTAATACATTCAATCGATTTTATTTGTTTATGTTTATTATATGCCTATATAACGAATTATGATGTTTGATTTAATTCAATTTTTAGTTTCATTCATATTATTGCTTTGTCTTTTATTGAGGCATCTCATGTTGATGCTTTCTATGCTAATTACATTTTGTTATGCAGATTATTCTGGTAGCTTCCTATTATCAGGTATGTAATTTATACTAAATATTCGATGCGCGCTGAGAGTCATCTAATATCGCTAGACAATACAATACACCTTTTCGCTATTTGTCCGCCATTACTGGACATCACACAAGTTCCCGTAAAATTTTGACGTCATAATAGAAAATATCTGACGCCACAATGGAAAAGTGATTGTTGTATGACGTCGAGCGGGACTGATTCTCGGGTCAAGCGGGATTAGCGATAAGGTGTATTATCCATGGTACACCTAATTGTTATTTGATGTTGTGAATTATTTCAGTGAATTATATTTAACTAGGCTTTCGTTAAGAAATATTCGGTAAATGCTTTAAATTGACATTTGATTAATTGATTTATTATCAATTCTTTTCCGTCATAGATATTGCGTTGTTCATTTCATGTTTACTTTTATATTTAGTTATACATATATTTTAAGATTGACAACTATTATTATTTTATTTATACTGTGTTCATTTATTGGAAGGTTAGTGATGCCTAGGGGAAAAACTGTCGCGAGGGGAAAAGGCGTTAAAAGAAGGAGAACAGCCCGTGTTACTGAGAATGACAGGACAGCTGCACCGTCCCAAACAGAACATGATGTAGTGCCGCCCCGGATGCAATTTCCAACATCTAATGCACCAGGACCATCTACCATGTCTAACAGTTCAGTGGATTTGCCGAATAATGAAGAGTCCGTAATGCCTGTGTATTCACAAAACATCAATGAACAAGGTACATTTCAAAATTTTGAATCTAATGTCAATTCTGTACATGAAATTCCCAGCATCAGCAATGATTTGGGTAATAATGTTTCGAGCAATATCAGACAAAAAATCTTAAATGGTGAATATATTGATCTGGGCTGTTTACTGTCGAACCCAGTACCTATTGATGATAATTCTAATACTTTAATAATAAAAGATGGTGTTCTACAATCTAAACCAAAAGCATCAACAGTAAAGATTAATAAAACTAGTCAGTGGACTGATGCATTTCTGATTTTTATTGATATTTATTTGTCAAGTCATTTGGGAGAGGCAAGAGGGCTTCTGAAATACATGAGTAACATACGACTGGGAGCTAGTAGGGTTCCCGGTTTAGGCTGGAAGAGGTACGACGAGCAATTCCGTTTAAAAAAAATAAGAATGCCGTCTTGTAACTGGGGAACAGTGATTTAGAGCTTTGGTTACTCTTCATGTATGATGATAACACACAAAATAACCAAAACCATGTAACTAATGTGTATAAGTGTTATGATTATAACAATGGCTCCTGTACTAGGCCTAACTGTCATTATTCACATAGTTGTTTACGTTGTACAGGTATTCACCCATCGGTAAACTGTACAAGATTTTATGGTGCTCAGACAAATTTTAATTTTAGGCGTGGTCCTAGATTCGCTGCTGGACAACCAAATAACAGTTCACAACGAGGCTCGAGTGCTAATCCAAGGGCAGCTGTCAGATTCCAGCGACCAGCTTTCCACGGTTCATTCAATCGCTAATACGCCAATTAAATTTGATGTTCTTTGCAAGTTTTTGGGAAATTATAGTAATACAATAGTCGCTTCGGAATTAAATTTGGGATTTTTGGAAGGTTTTCGTCTAAATTATAATGGACCTAGGATGACTACTGATTGTAGAAATCTAGTTTCTGTTTTTGGCAATGAAGTTGAAGTTGCAAAAAAATTATTGAAAGAAATTAATTTGGATAGAATAGCTGGCCCCTTTAACAATATACCTCTTTTTAATCTAAGATTGTCTCCGATTGGCTTATGTCCTAAAAAGGATGGTTCTTGGAGGCTTATACAGCATTTATCGTTTCCACACGGTTTAAGCGTAAATGATTATATTGATAAGGGCTTGTGTTCTGTGACTTATACGCCGTTTGACCACGCACTAGATATGGTGGGTAGCCAAGGAAAGTTCGCCCTAATTGGAAAAAAAGATATCAGCTCGGCATTTAGGCTTTTACCAGTAAACCCGGATGATTTCGAGTTATTGGGTTTCAAATTTTTGGACTTTTACTTCGTGGACCGCTGTTTGCCTCAAGGTTGTAGTTTGTCTTGTGCAACATTTGAGAAATTCTCAACATTTTTAGAATGTATCTTTAAGGACAAAACGGGATCGGATAGTGTTATACACTACTTAGATGATTTTTTGTTTGCAGGCCCGGGGGCTGATTCAACTTGCCTTAACCTGATGAGTGAATTTGATTGTTTATGTGATCACTTAGGAGTTCATTTGGCACATGACAAGACCGTCGGTCCAACTCATGTTCTTACTTTTTTGGGGCTTGAAATTAATACAATTGAAATGTCAGTAAAAATTCCCCAAGAGAAATTGCTAAAATTGAAAACAATAATTTCAAACTTGTTAGGCAAAAAAAGAACAACATTACGTGTTCTCCAGTCTTTTACAGGGATTTTGAATTTTTGTTCGCGAGTGATCCCTACGGGTAGGGCATTCAACAGACGTTTTTATGATGCAATGTCAGGAATATCAAATCCTCGGCACCATATAAGGCTCACTGCGTCAATTAAGGAAGACATAAGGCTGTGGTCGTTTTTTTTAGATTGTTTTAACGGCAAATTTTATTTTCCCGATTCCGATTGGATATCAAATGTTGATATGGAGTTATTTACTGATAGTGCTGGTAGTGCATTTGGTGGATGTGCTTCGTATTTACATCCTAATTGGGCTTTCTTTCCTTGGCCGTCATTTTGGTTAGGTTGCGATATATTAAAGGACATTACATTTTTAGAGTTATTACCTATTGTATTAGCCTTTCATTTGTGGTATGAGACCTTTGCGAATAAAAAAATTATCTTACACGTTGACAATAAAGCACTTGTTCATATCTTGAATTCTAAAACGTCTAGATCAAGAAGGGTAATGCATATTCTTCGTCCTTTAGTCTTAAAAGCTATGGTTTATAATATTCAGTTCAAAGCAATGCATATTACATCAAACAAAAACTGTATTGCGGATGCAATTTCTCGTCAACAGTGGGCACGGTTTCGTCGCATGTCTCCAGAGGCTCTACAAGAACCAGAAAAGGTCCCACAGTCTTTTCTACAAGTGATCTCAAATTTGAATCCAACAAGTTGTTAACGGCTTCAATCTCACCAAACACAAGTGACACTTATGAAACTGCTGTCAGGTCATTTGATCAATTTAGATCTTCACACGGACATGCCATTGTTTGGCCACCCTCACTTAATGTTATCTGTAACTTTATAGCATATTTATCTGTGCGAGGTTATGCTCCGTCTACTGTCAAGTCTTATATTTTTGGTATAGCCTTTAAATGTAAAATGTTAAATATTACTGATAACACTCAAAATTTTATAATTAAAAAAATGTTAATTGGAATGGAAAGGCTTGACAAACGAGCGGATTCAAGATTGCCAATTACGCCACAGATTTTAGATAAATTGATTTCACTATTACCATCTGTATGTCTCTCACAGTATGAGACCTTATTGTTTTCGGGGTTGTTTAGTTTGGCCTATTTCGGCTTTTTCAGGACAGGGGAATTAGTAGTCAATAAATCACTGGCACATTCTCACACTTTGTCGTTAGATGATTTTAGTTTTTCGGAAAATAACGTTTCTATCAACCTAAAATTTTCAAAAACTGATCAGTTAGGCAAAGGTAGTTTAATAATTATACCTTCAATTAATTCTCATGTATGTCCTGTTCATTTATTAAAGAGATATTTTATTGCCAGGCCCAAAAGTATTGGTCCTGCATTCATACACTTCGGTGGAAACTATGTTACACGTGATCAGTTTAACGCTGTTCTAAAGAAAGCTCTGAATGTGGCGAATATTACATCGGATAATTTTCAAAGTCATAGTTTTAGGATCGGAGCTGCATCTCAGTCTTCGAAAATGGGGTTTTCTGATGATGAAATTCAGGATTTTGGTCGTTGGGAATCGAAAGCTTATAAAAGATATATCAGAATACCAACGCTAAAGTTAGCAAGTCAAATTTAATATGTGTCATCATTTATTTGTTTGTATATATTGTACATTATTAATTTGAAATTTGAATACTCGCCTGATCGTCACTTTAAGACTTTCAGGTCAACAAAAGAGTGTTTGGTTGGTGGGTTCTTCAATCATCAAACATGCATTTGTACATGCTAGAAGGTCCGTCGATGGTGTAAATTTAGGTTTGGAACGAATAAAAACTACAATATGGTGGCAAGGAAAAAGTGGAATGAGGATTTGTGAGATAATACCCAAAGTCAAACATTTGCTTACATTTGAAGAACCCCCGCAAGTTTAGTATTTCACTGTGGTGGAAATGATATCGGACAAAAAGTGTCATGTGTATTAGGACACGATATTTTAAAAGTAATTGATTGCCTTCGGGTCTTACTACCACAGTCAAAATTTGTTTGGTCTCAAATTTTACCCAGATTGAAATACAGGAATGAGGTTGTACACAGATCTTTGAACAGAACTAGAGTTAGATTAAATAGTTTAGCAGCTACATATATCATCAAACATGGCGGTGCTTATATTAGATATCCAGAAATATCCGAAGACAATCCAGATTTATTTTTAGACGGTGTTCATTTATCAGATATCGGAAATGATTTGTTTTTGTATAGGTTACAGCAAGGTTTATTTGACATTATAAAATTTTCACATACAATTTGTCCACAAAACGGCGAAGTAGGTCCATGGCTTCGGGAATCTGTTAGCTTGTAGTTACGGCGGTCAGATTCATTAACATACAGGTTTTTTATTTTTAAATAAATCACCTTCATAGTACTGGTTGGCGGTAACAATTTTCGAAACATTCTGTTATGACAGAAATTTTCGAATTTGTTTAGTGGCGGACTTTATAGGCTGCACCAGTACCGATAAACTTGATTTATTATTATTTAATTTAGAACATTAATCCATTTAATCTTCATTTACACTTCAAACGTAGTTTCTCATGTTGATTTGGACATCTGTTGCCAGGGTTCAATTCAGCACACTATTAATTCATAATTTCATTACATTTTAGTTTTATTTCAATTTTAATTATCTATTCTATTTTAAAGATTTGATTTGCAATTTTAATTTACGGTTACCCAAAAACCCTTTGTTCATGGGTTGGTAACCGACAGAAGCCGTGATCTTACTTCGCCAATAAATATATATTATTCTTAACATGTGTTATCTCTTATAATTCGATTTAAAGGGCTCGACCATTAAATCGCGTTATCAGAGGAAGACCAGCAATAGTTCATTAGCGGGTCAAAGCAGACGCGCATGTCTAAATTTATTGCACTACATATAAATTAACTGTTCTTGCACTCCTCATCACAAATTTTGCAAACGCTATCTTCAAGGATTTATATTGATTTAAGGTCAGATTATTGAGTTAATTTAGTATACACATGATTACTTGATACCCACCCGGCCTCTCCCTTTATTTTCGATACTGCTGTTTTTGTTTTTATTTTACAGATTTATGTGTGTTGTCTGTACATATACTTCAACTTTAAAGAAAACCTGTCACGGCTTCTGGATCTGTTTGTGTTTATGTAAACACAAATAACCGAACTATGACCTCCATATGGTGAAGTGATAATGTATTGACAATAATAATGCACTGATCAAAGATGATGTTATGACCGTCTGTTGCCAGAGGTCATGGACGGCGGACTTTATAGGCTGCACCAGTACCGATAAACTTGATTTATTATTATTTAATTTAGAACATTAATCCATTTAATCTTCATTTACACTTCAAACGTAGTTTCTCATGTTGATTTGGACATCTGTTGCCAGGGTTCAATTCAGCACACTATTAATTCATAATTTCATTACATTTTAGTTTTATTTCAATTTTAATTATCTATTCTATTTTAAAGATTTGATTTGCAATTTTAATTTACGGTTACCCAAAGACCCTTTGTTCATGGGTTGGTAACCGACAGAAGCCGTGGTCTTACTTCGCCAATAAATATATATTATTCTTAACATGTGTTATCTCTTATAACAGTAGGTATTTCACATTTCAAAAACATTTCTTTATTAACTAAAAATGTTGACATGAACATTTGATGGATTACGATTTATCTAGTATATCTCCTTGGTAAACATAATATGCATACATAGTATGAAGTCTTGCTTGTCCAATTATTGACGGAAGTTATTTCAATAGCGTCGTTATTGACAATGATCTTGTCAACAAGCCTAACATGTTAAAGCCTATAGCATACAGGTCGGACTACATGTTTTGTTTGAAACAACTTACTTATATGATGTTCTGGTCACTTAACTCTGGCCGTTACTATTCGATCTGTATGGGTGATTCTACAATAAAGAAAGTTTCCACCTTTCACACTCGAGTGTAACAGATGGCAGCTTATGAAGACCTTGCGATTTAACATGTTTTGTCTAGGTTACGGCAAAACTATTGCTTTTTAAACATGTTCATAATAATTAACTTTTCAAGGATATTGAAAAATTTATTTTGAGTTTTCATTATTAAACAATTTTTTGTAAATTCCTTTGCCATTTTTTTTTATTATGTTAATAGTCTTGGTATGCTAACTAATTTTGTGCACGTTTTAAGCATTATTATTAATATATATTAATTATGTACCGTTATTTTGAATTATGTTTTAAAAACATTTATTTACTGACTGAACTCAATAATAACTTTTTTTTTGTTCTTTTCCATAGTTTTGAAAAATGACGGCAAATTGTATGGATTAAGGCTGCGAGCTCGTTATACAAATTAGAATTAAGAAACTGAATGAGTCTATTAATACCCATGCTACATCAATCTTTAAAAACCCTAAAGTTGTAAAACACTTGTCCTACCTCCATGACACATTTTTTGTTGTCACCGCTGATAAAGCTCTAAATAACATGAATGACATCGTGTTTGTGTAAATCACATTACATAAACTTCTTGATAAATGAATTACGTATTGAAAATTTACCTTGAAACTCAGCATATAACCCCACGACACTTACTAAAGAGGAAACCCTGGATATTCATAGGTCTGTTCTATGTTCCTTTGTAATTTCTACCAAAGACGAAGAACTGTATGTTCCATTACTGTACACACAAGTGTACTTACAAACAACAGTTTACTGCTGGGTCTTCCAAGTGCTCAACAAAACAACTTTCCAAATTATTAACATCAATTTTATCTTAAACCAAAGCCGGGCTTCAAAGTTAGTGTGAAACTACTTATTCTAGAGGTGTCGTGAATCAGATGTTCAAAAGATCTTTTATAGTACATACAATCTAAGACTTTTTCATCTTGCAACAGTATTAAAACATTTGACTTTTCTACACTTTACACAAGTATTCCCCTTTCTAAACTAAAATGTAATTTAAAAAAGGTTAGTCCTGCTTTGTTTCATAAAAAAGAATGGCAAACGTAGATACAAGTGTCTTGTTTTAGACAGAAATAAATCCTACTTTGGAAAAAATCATTCTGATTCACACAAAAAAATTCTCTGAAACTGAACTTATTGGTTGACAACATAATTGTATGTTTGGAGGACGTGTGTTTCAACAAACAATCGGTGTCCTTTTGGTATCTTTCGCCACTCTTGTAGAAATGTATTTGTAAAGAAAAATATAAACCTCAGTATATTTATTTCACAGTCATTAACTGCAAAACTTATTCAACCCCGAACACTTTACTCGATCAAGGAAGCCTCAAATTTGTTTATAATGTGAGATCTGTCCACAACATTCACTGGTGAAGAAAGTTAATGATTTAGCAAAGATTTTCCCTCTTCTATATGCTCTTGCGACCTTTACTATCCACAATTGTTATCAAAATTTAAAGGACTAGATATATTTACCTTCTTTAAAAAGTTGTAACAATTGCGGTTAACTTGTCAAAAGAGAGAGAAAGAGAGAGAGAGAGAAACCACTTAAAGTACCGTCCTGTAACTTTTATTTTTAGCAATACCTAGAATTTAAACTAGACCTTTTGGGACCAATAAATTTGTTTGATAAGCAATTACTGTATGTATTGTAGACAACTCAATTCATAAAAGAAATAACATTCTTAAATTAGATCTTAAATGTAAGGTAATGTTTTAAAGTAAATATCCATCAATTACAAGCAAATCATAAATATTCAACAATGATTAATTTGGTTAAATCTTCTATTCATGAATAGTAAACATGGTAAATACTAGTGGTATGATGAAAAGTCAAAACCGTTTGAAACATTTTGTACTTTCAACTCATCTCTTCTTAAATGATCTGTTGAAATACAGTCAGCATTTTCAAAAATTAAAACTTCACTAGAGTATTATTTGATTTTCTCTTTGCAAGGTTTTTATGAAAGAAACGTTTACCCCAAAGTCGTAGATAACGCAACTATGCATTCAGGAGCCTGTAATTCAGTGGTTGTCGTTTGTTGAGTTGTTAAATATTTGTTTTTCGTTCATTTTTTTGTACATAAATTAGGCCGTTAGTTTTCTCGTTTGTATTGTTTTACATTTGTCATTTCGGGGCCTTTTATAGCTGACTATGCGGTATGGGCTTTGCTCATTGTTGAAAGCCGTACAGTGACCTATAGTTGTGTCATTTGGTCTCTTGTGAAGAGTTGTCTCATTGACAATCATACCACATCTTCTTTTTTATATGTATGCATAATCACTGTTATCGATTGATTTGTATATTCACAAGACTTGGTGTAAAGTCATATTCACCAGGATTCGTATACTCCGCTCAAAAGTTTTATTTTCACGATAGTGAAAAACAAAATTTGAACTTGCCTTGAACAAAATTACGGGGGCTACTAGTCGATATAAAGATCACTATTTAAGTACGCTTCACGAGAGAGTATTTGAGACCAATCTCAGTTTGTGAGGGGGTTTGTGTTGCTAACTCTTAGGTTTTCTTGGTTGTGTTTCAGTAAAGCCATATGTACTTCATATGTGACATAACATTCATAAAACATGATAGGTGTATTGTTTAAGAAAAATTAAATCAATTCATTGCATATTGGTGATAGTACCAATAACAAATATTGGTGAAATTTGGAATTTAATTATCTATTGTAAAATCTTTAGGCAGCCATGATTCCTTGTAATATAATTAAAAAAATAATTATGTTAATAATGTTTTTTCAAGGATATGCATCTCACAGATTATACAAAACAAATACTGTGGTAGGATGAGATTCGATATATTTTTAATTGTCAATTTGTATATATTGATTAAATTTATTGGAATAAAATGAATTACATGTTAAAATGTCATTAATTAAACATAGTCAGAACATCTCTTAATTTCTGTGTATTGGTACTAGCATTGGTATGTGTTGCTATACAGCCACAGTTATACTACAACATTCTGTATGTCTTGTCCCATGTCAGGAGTCTGTAATACGTGTTTGTCGTAAACTGCTGTCTAGCATACATGTTGTTTTTTAAATTTTTGCTTACTTACATCAAACCTTTTGTTTTCTCGTTTGAATTGTATAACAGTTTGTTATCTCGTGGAATTTTATAACTTTCTATACAGTATGGGATTTGCCCATTGTTGAAGGCCGTACGGTGATCTTAAGTTGATTTCAACTACGTCGTTTGTTCCCTGTATGTCAGGTTCGTAATAGTCAATCATTCCACATCTTCAAGAAATCGAGATTTCAAACAAAAGTTTCTTATGATCGTAACTCAACGTACGAACTATATAGCACTGGTTTGCCAACCCATGTATAAATTCGCTGCGTTTGTTTTAATTATTGATGTCAAGATTTTCAGAACGTGTATTTTTATACATTACGTGGTTTTCAGAATCCCTGATTAAGTTGTTACATGTTTGTTGTACCTACACAATTTTTTTATGAATGACTTATAGAAATAAGAATGGAAACGCGGACTGGGTCAAAGAGATAAAGACCCGACTTAAAAAAACAAGCCAAAAACAGCCCAAAACCACCAATGGGTTGTCAACGCAGTGTGATAATCCCACACATGGACATGGTTGAGGCGGAATTCTGCTGACCCCTTAAAAATAATGAATACCATTTCAGCGAAATGGATGCCACATTTAACTCCGAAATATAACTAGAGGCTCTCAAGAGCCTGTGTCGCTCACCTGATTCTACTTTGGTTTTGGAAATCATGTAAAAATAGATTAAAATCATAACAGATACCCTATTAATGAGTGAGGCCAAATTTGGTTTAATATTGGTCCTGTAATTTAATAAAAAATCCTGGTGGTCATCTTGAACAGTAAATCGGCAACAAAGTAGCAACACTTAATCAGCACCGCATAAGAAACATTTATGCCATGTTTTGGTTTCATTCCATTCAGTGCACCTCTAGAAGAAGCATTTGTATGTATTTCCCATAGGGTCTTATGTTAAAGGAAGTCCCCCCATTGGCGGCCATCATGGATGAAGGATCAGCTTCAAAGTAACAAAACTTAGTCAGCACCTCATAAGGAACATTCATGCCATGTTTGGTTTCAACCCATTCAGTATGTGGTTCTCTAAAAGAAGACATTTGTATGTATTGTCCATAGGGTCCTTTGTTAAACATTGTCCCCATCTGGCAGCCATCATGGATGAAGGATCAGCTTCAAAGTAACAACACTTGGTCAGCACCTCAAAAGGAACATGCATGCCATGTTTGGTTTCATTCCATTCAGTGGTTCTCTAAAAGAAGACGTTTGTATGTATTTCCCATAGGGTCCCATGTTAAACTAAGTCCCCCGCTGGCGGCCATCTTGGATTATGGATCGGCTTCAAAGTAACAACACTCGGTCAGCACCTCATAAGGAACATTCATGCAATGATTGGTTTCATTCCATTCAGTGGTTCTCTAAAAGAAGAAATTTGTATGTATTTCTCATAGGGTCCGATGTTAAACAAAGTCCCCTGCAGGCGGCCATCTTGGATTATGGATCGGCTTCAAAGTAACAACACTCGGTCAGCACCTCATAAGAAACATTCATGCCATGTTTGGTTTCATTCCATTCAGTGGTTCTC